GGGGGGGGGGGGACTGGGAGGTGTGACTGGCTGGTGAGAACCACCAGCTTAAACTGCACCCTCCCGTAGCCTCCGGACTTTCTGATCAAAGATGTTGCATTTGTTGCTGCTGTTTTAGCACAGAGACTCTACATACAGACGTGGATATATAAGGGTGCTATATATAAACACATTATTCATTCAATAATAGTCAAAACAATAGGCTCGTGGCTTCCAAATCCCTCTGCATTTGAGCCACCTGGGCAGTATTTCTAAACTAAAGATTTCTGGGAACCAGTCCCAGAAATTTGCATTTACAGGAAGGAGGGTAGAGCCCAGGAATGTGTGTTTTGAAAAGGCGCCTGACACCTGGGGCTCTGGCTGAATTAGCGGAGCTCCCACCAGGATGTCACCACTCTGCCCCATAAACCTCCCGCACATGGCACCTGGCCACCTTCTCTGAGCAGGGCCTTTCCTCCCGCACCCTCGGTTTACCATGGCTGTGAGCACGAACAGGGGTGTGTAGGGGCTGAAGGCAGCTGCCAGCTTGCAGGCTGTGGCGGCCGACAGCAGGCGGTGGTCGGAGCCCCTCAGCAGGCCCTGGGAGAGAACAGGAGGCCACAGTTGCTCATCCATCAGCAAAAGACAGGCTGTGAAACCCTTCAGCTTCTCTTTCAGATTCCCAGGGATGCCCTGGCCCCCATCACAGCTATTTCAGAACTGTGCCAAGGAAGAGTGGCCGTCTTTCCCCCGCAGCTCCCCCCCGCAGAGAGGCCCCTGTGAGCTCAGCAGCATCCGCCACGCAGAACTCCCTGGAGGAGCCCCGCACACTCCGCAGCCACATCGATGGCTGGTTTCTGCCTTGTTCGGCAGAGAGCCCTTTAATTTGTGGTTTCATGGCAATTAGGATTCCTTCATTCATTCTAGAAACATGTGCTGAGCACCTCCCTGTGTCAGGCGCTGGTCCAGACACAAGGACGTGCAGACGGACTTGCTTTCTGCTGAGGGGAGAGGACTGAACACCCGCATGCGTGGGGCACACGCGGGAGGGCTCGGGGCGGTCGGGGCTGCTTCACAGGCCCTGTCACTGTACATGGGACACAACCCTGCTCAGACACAGCCGCCGAGATTCCCACCCCTGCAGGCAAGTTGGGTGCACCCACACTGCCCGGCACTGGGTGGGGCTATTGTTGTCACCTGGAACTTAGCAAAAATGGCAATATCGGTGATCATATAGAAATCTCAATGTCCAAGCAGTGCAGGGAGCAGGTCACCGTCCCCACCCAGACCCTGGACGGCTCAGGGACCTGGCTCCACTGCCTTAGTGGCTGCCAACCGCACATGTCACTGTCTTTCTGGACCTCAGCTTATCTCTCTAAGATGGGAACGGCACATGTTGCTCCTAGGAGTTCATGGGGTTTGTATACATAGACACGCACTTTCTGAATTGGAAAGCAGTGTGTAAACATTGCTAATGCCTGTTACTAAGGACAGGGGCTCGACAAGTGACTGGTGCCCTGATCTGGACAGATGATGATGAAAGCTTTAAAATTATTACCCAGTTACTTTGTTGTTGAGATGGCCCAGGTGTGGAAATTGAATTTTGTGATAATTTGAAAGCAAATAAGTGTGGTTCAAAGCACCCGTCACTTTGAATCTATCACTCACTCCTCCGCCCATCATTGAGTGCCCCCCGCACGTCGGGACCGTGCAGGTGCTGAGCTCTACGGCACCAGGACCCGGGGGACTGTCCTGGGAGCACTGATGTCACACAAGAGAGGAGAACAGGCTGGTGGCCTGCTGCGGCTGCCACCTGCACCGTGGTTCAGCATATGAGAGTCAAGCGATAGTTACCAAGCTTCCTTGTGGGTTGTTTTTAAACTTCTCATAATCTTTCTTGCTCATGGAAACAAAGATGTCGGCCAGTATACCTAAGGATGCGGAGATGCCCTGCAAGGGAAACACAAGCAAGTGCATGGGACTCCCGTCAGTGACTGCTCCTGGTGTGGCCCCAAGGCAACCGCTAGGCCCGCGCACGGACTGTTCTTATTATTACTGTCATTGTTGTGACACTAGAGATACTTTTAAATTGGATGCAGAGGACTTTAAAGACCATGACTCCCGAGGGCCCCATATAAACTGTTTCCTAGCCGAGCTCGACCAGATTGCCAGCAGACTGCCCACACTGCTCGTCCTGAAGCTCTGGCCCAGGCGGGGTCAAGCTCTAGCCCTGCCGTAGGCTGTCAGCAGCTCAGGACATGCAACAACCTCCGCAAACGAGAAGGACCCCAGAGTCACAGAGAACAAGTGTCAGGCAGGAGAGCAGACTCTGCTCTGTTTCTCGAGTGAAGGTGCAACGTAAACAATTAAGTCCCGTCTTTGCCATTTGACTCAGGAAACGATTTTACATACACACAACTTGGCTATCTCAGCTCTGCTGTGGAATCACGCAAAGGCTAAGTACATAATGAAATAGACGCATGACTCAGTAGAAATAAGTGTACAAAGGGATAGTTATAAATGAATAGAGAAACAGTGACTATAGGCCAGGAGTCTGGCCTCAGTGGGAACAAAGCAGTCCCGGGAGGAAGTCAGCAAATGGTCTCGGCCCGGCGCCCACGTGGAATCAAGACAAATATTACCAATGAAACTGATATGCGATAAACTGAATGTTTATCACCCAAGACAAACAGAGGAAGGGAGAGAAAACACACACAACCCACCTTTTTATCTGGCTGAGGAAGTGTCACATACCCTGCGATTGAGGCCTGTATTAACTCCGCTGCTTCGCACCACATCCCTGAAAACATGGGGACACGAGACTGCTAGTGCCTGTGCTCTCAAGACAGAAAATGCCTTGAAAACTAAAGAAAGGAGCTCCATCAACTCCTGTCAAGAAGTTTAGGGCTGGGTCGGATCGACAGTGGTCAGCAGACAATAACCCTCTTCCTGGCTGGTTTAACAGGTGATCTCCCTCCACAGGGGAGCAGTAGGAATGACTGCGTATCACATGCATGATACATGTAAGTATGCAAATAGCCACCTCCCCTACAGACAGTAATAATAACTACCCGCCTCTGTTAAATTTTCAAACAGTATAGTTTGCATTTTAAAGTATTATCAGGGTTCTGTAAACTTTGCTTGAAAAACTCACAAGTGCCTGTGAGGCATGAGCAGGGAAGGCGTCAGGGTAGGTTTAGAATAAGGTGTCGCCACATCATGGGGTCAGATGCCAGAACTAACACCGAGGACCCCAGGTTAGTGCTCACAACATACAACCGAAAATTCCCTCTCGAGACTCAACAGAAAGTGTTTGTTTCATTAATGTTCACAACACTCTGTGATCTTAAACGCCCTTCCCTTCCCAGTGAGGACACTGGGGGGGGCGAACGGTGTTAACCAGACACGGCACGGACCCCAGGGCCAGCGGGCAGGCGGCCGGCGCGGTGCCCACCTAGCTTCTGCAGGACTTGCCCTCTGACCTGCAAGCAGACTGCCTGCACCAGGACCCTGTCGCTCTCATTTCTGTACAGCCAGGTGCCTATAATAAAACAGGGAAAGAGAAAAGCATTTTTGGTCTGGAATTATTAAGGGTGAAATACACTGTTTTCACAGACGCCTTCATGAGCACACGTGACATAGACTCGAGAGGCAACCTCTCCTCACACAAAGAGTAAGGTCCAGACCTTTGTTAAGGCCCAGGAACGGGTCCTCCCTTGCTAACTGCGCGGCCACCCCTGCCTCACCGCGTCCCTCCTAAGAGTGGCTGTGGCTGTGGCCTCTGCCGGACCCGCTTCCCTCCGGCTCCCGAGGAGAGCAGCTCCCTCTCCTTCCCAGGGTGTCGGCCTCACTGCTGTTGCCTCCAGGGCCTCCCAGACAGTTCGCTCACAGCATTACTGCCCGGGCTGCCTCGAGGACGGTGGGGTCAACCCCATCCACCCAAAATGTGCACCAGGAGGGCAGGAAAAGGTCCAGGCCTCACAAAATGAGCCTTTCTGAAAAGCACAGGGCAGGCACCGGGCAGCCCAGGGGACTCAGGCGAAGGCCTGGTGAGTGGCTTTGGTCTTCATTGTGATGAGGGTGTGGGGCTGGGTAAAGGCCCCCACATGCTGGGGTTTACTGATGAGCGAACGCCAGCCTGTCCAGACGGGCAAAGTGGGGAGGCGAGGCAAGTGCCCGGAAACTGCCAGTGTCACACCCACTGTTGCACCCTCCTCACTCCCGTCTCCTCACCCTTTGTTTTCAACCTGTGTCTACCCCTGGGGTGTGCGTGTGTGCCGGCGTGTGTGCAGGCTGGGAAGTGTACGTGCTGTGTGTTAGTGATGCGGCCAGTATTTGTATTTCAAACTGCCTCTGGCTGGAAACGTTGGCAAGCTTCAAGGGCCTTACATCCAGCACATTGAGCTTAAACTTGACTGGAAATTGTATTCAACTTATTGGGAAATTTGTTGACCAGAAATTCAGACAAAATATCTGAAGGCAAATGTGATTTGTTACCCAACCATTGGGGCTTTCTTTCTTTCATGTCTGATGGAATATCAGCCATGGCCGGGTGGCTCAGTTGGTTGGAGTGCTGTCCCAAACACCAAAAAGTTTGTGGGTTTGATTCCCAGGCAGGGCGCATGCCCGGGTTGTGGGTTTGATCGCCAGTCGGGGAGCATATGGGAGGCAACCTATTGATGATTCCCTCACATCGATGTTTCTCTCTTTCTCTCCCTTTCCCTCTCTCTAAAATCAATAAAAAAATATCCACAGATGAGGATTTTAAAATGTACATTAAAAAAATATTGGGTCATTAAGTTGTTTTAAACAGGAACCCTGGAGGAGAGGGTGGAGACTGCTGTGAACACACTTTACCTGTTGCTGCGTTGTTGCTGATGAGGCTGCTCAGGACACGCTCCGCTTGTAAAAGTTTCCCTGAAAACAAGCAAATGAGCCTCTCAGTCAGCGTGAGCACTCGCTTCAAACACCACTGGCTGTCGCAGCCCAAGGTGATCAGTCACGGGGGGACCACAGCTGCCCTGGGAAACGTTCTGTTTCAAAGTCTAAAATCAATAACTGCATCATGTATAAAACGAAGAATAAAGATGAAGCTTCAGGATTGTTAAGTGGGAGCTGAGTGTCTGAATGGCAGTCGTGTCCTCTCGGAAGTCCCTCCTTCAGGCTGTGGCTTGATAAGTGAAGACAAGCCTTCCAGGAGCACGGCATCGCCTGAACAGGGCTGTTTGTAGGATTTGTTATCAGGAGGGAGTTTTTAAGGGGGAGGGAGGTTCTTACTAAATTTTCCACTTACATTGGTCACCATCACGTAGGAGGGGCCTCATCTACGGATGGCTGTCTCTCCGAAAGTGGGAAACAATCATTTCTCATCTTTTCCATCCCTCCTCTTAGTCATCCATGACCTGGCCCCTGGGACTCCTTGGACATCATCACAGTGGCCCCCTTACTGTCCCCTCAACATGCCAGTTCACACTTCGTTCTTTGTACTTGCGTTACTCTCATCTGGAATCTGTTCACCCTAAATCTCTCCAGGGCTCCCTGCCTTCCCCTCTGTCCCTGCTCAAATTGACTGTCGGCTAAGGCCTCCCCTGACACTCATTCAATTGCACCCGACGTGCACCTGGCTGTGCTGCACCGCATTTCCAGTATGGGTCACACAACAGCTCCTCTGCAATGGGGCCCTGCTGTCCCTCCACCAGGGGCTGGAGGCACTGTTTATTTCCCTTCTCCTTCAGCTAAACTGTCCCTGTGATGTGCTGTGACCAATGGGATGTGGTGGGAGCGACACCGTACCTTTCTAGTCTGGGCATTCATAGGTCTGACTCTTCATTTGCTTCTTGGAACCCAGCCCCGGGGCTTGAGAAAGGGGAAGCAGCCCCATGGGAGGCCCATGTGGAGAACAGAGGCCCCCAACAGCCACACTGAGCCCCAAATTCACCCTTAATGACTGAATTTTAGATTAGCTTGGGTATTTACTAAATTCTTTGTTAGCTGTTGCCTTTTGTGCTCCCACTCCATTTTTGTAGGATCAATTTCTCCTTAGCAAAATACACCCCTCAGTGAGTGCCCGTGTGTGTGTGGGGGGGGGAGCTCTTGAGAGTAATAAACAGTTTTAGTCTTTGTCTGAAAATGTCTATTTGTCCTCACTTCTGAATGATCATATTTGCTGGGTATAAAATGCTAGATCAAAAGCTATTTCCTCTTATGTTTCATGGAGATTCTGGACTGTGTTGTTGATGATAAGATGCACTTTGTAAGTCTAAACATATATATAAATAACTGGTCTTTTCCGTTTCCTTTAAGATTCTCTCCTTGTTTGATTTTTTTATAGTGTACCGCGCTGTGTCTAGGTAATTTTTAAAGAAAAGTTTTGTTCAAGGTTGGATACATGTCTTCAGTGCACAGACGCTTTTCACCAATTCCAGGCAGTCCTCCGGGCAGTTCTATTATGCTCAGTGCTTTTTTGCTCTCTTTTCTGAGTTTTTTAAACTTCCCTGTCATATTTATACTTAACTCTCTGTGCTTCCTTCTAGTTTTTCTTTAAACTTCCAGTTCTGTAATTTTCTCTTGCACTGTTAGGCCTGCTGCAGGAATACATTTAGGGGGTTGGGACACCTGAGAAACTGTCCCTGGAACATTATCTTCATTGCTGCACCAGGTGGGCAGACAGGCACGTGGTAGAATCTGCGGATAGTCCCTAGCTAGTCACGTGAGGCCCACAGAACTGCACCCCGAATGTCTTCTGGGGGGAGGGGGGTTAGAAGCACAGAATCTGAGCCCCCAGACCTATTGAGCAGGACTTGCATTTTAGCAAGTCTCCAAGTGATTCACAGGCACATGGAGTCTGGGAGGCAGTGCTGGGAATACTGTCATGGGTGACTTTTTGTTACTGGTCTGAGATGAGATTAAGTGAAAAACAGGAGAGAGGATTTTAGAAATTTTTATAATCGTTTATCAAAGTAATTGTGTGACTAGAACCATGTGTCACAAATGGTTAGAGTGTCCTGAGCAGGCGTCTGCTGGTCTGACCTGTGTTTCAGGCACTGTCTGTGTGACAGGAGAGGGTTCTGCACTTGGCCAGCCTTCCTCATGGATGGAGCAGAGTCTGGGCTGTTAAATGGGGGGGAAGGCGCTGTCTCAGAGTTTCAGGCCACAGTGAGCTGAGCAGGCCCAGGGCAGTCCCTCTGACCCTTGAAACCCACCACATGACTGCTGGGGCTTTGGGATATGTTTGGGGAGCAACAGGAAGGCCGGGTCTAGGGGCCATCAGGAGGACCTGCTGTCCCCTCAGTGCACCTTTATTCCTCCTGTCGCCCCTATAACAAAGCACATCCCCCTGCCTCTGCATCCAGAACTAGGAGCCTCTCCTTCCAAGACAGCACCCTGCTCTGGGTCCCTCTCACTGGGATGCCCAGTGTAGGTAGTGGCTCGAGAGGTGTTTGGGGCAGAAGTTTACAAATAAGCACTAAACTCTAAGGCTGTGTGTATGTCTCATGTGGCATCCTGATCATGTCTTTGAGGGTCTGGGACTTTGATTTCGGACGTGTGACGTGAGCACACTGCTCCTGTGGCCACCAATGCCAGCTCGTCACCAGACAACTCTCTGTGGAGCAGAGCTCTGTGGAGACAGGACAGAAATAACAAAACCAACAAACCAGCCAAAGCAAAAGGATGAATTTGGCCATGTGAAGTGAAGCTGTGAACACGCCTGCTCCCCACAGGACCCAACTGCCATGTTGCGCCACAACCACACCATCACCAGGGAAGGTGCCACGTCCACAGTGTCCCCACAGGGCTCTGCCGACACATCATTGCCACTCCTGCCATCAGAAGGAGCGTTGGTCGTTAGGGTTCCCTCATACCTCAAATGTTATAAAATGTCCCAAATCAGAGACATTTAAAGGAAGGAATTTTCCCCAAGGTCAACTCTGTCCCCACAATCCCTCTAGAAAAGTAATAATAAGACGTGGGCTCACTTTAACCCAGCTGCAAAGACCTGAGCGAGTGGGCTCGGTGTTTGACCAGTGTGTGTGTCCTGTCCTGGTCCCTCGGCCCCTCTCTGCAGTCAGCACTGACTGATGCTATAGTTAGCACGGCTCCTTGTCAAAGGAAGGCCCCTCCCCTCCGGCCCTCTGCTTTACATCCTGAGTGATAGAAGGCCGCATTTCCCATTTCACTCACAGGGACGGGGGTAAACGGTACTTTGAGGAAATCAGGTGCAGTGCCAGGGTATCGAGTGATGGGAAACCCTCGGATTACCTCAGTGTGCTTGTCAAGGGCCCTCCAGAGAGGAGACAGGCCTGCTAAGAGAAAGCAGCATTCTAATCTGCTCTTTAAAGGCTCCTGGTCAAAAGTACAGCAATTCAGATCCCCTTGTTTGAAAGCAGCAGGACGGATTTGTTAGAAGACAAAAGCTCCAATTAGTATTTTCCACACCCTTTCACAATTTTCTCTGCTGCTCTGGCTCTGAGTCCCTTACGGCAGGTCTTTGTGCTGGGGGATGAAGGCGGCGGCAGGCCTGCCTCACCCTCAGGGCCAGGGGGCCCCAGGGGCAGCCCAGGGTGGGAGGGGCAGGGTGTGCCTACCTGCACTGAGCGACACTCGGGCCTGGCGAATGACCAGCTGCGGGGCCATCGGTGTGGCGGGCCACAGCTTGTGCAGCCCCTTGGCCACCTGCAGGAGTTGGGGGGACATGTCGAGCCTGTACAGGAGCCTGTCACTCAGGAACAGGATGGCCGCCGCGGTGGCACCGTCCCGGGCGAGGATGGAGGCCTTCAAGGACACCTGGGGGACAGGCAGGGACACTGTGAGCCCGAGAGAAGAAGTCAGTCCTGGGACAAAGCCTAGGCTTCTGGGTGTTTGTATCAAACAAGAAACACTATTGGGCGCCTGAGCCGAGAGCAAAAAAGAAGGAAAGTCCAAGAAAACTGTGGGATACATCCCCTTCATGCCCCCATTCCATTCCATTCCTAAAGTTACAAGGCAATAAAACGTACTTCCAAACACACAAGGCGGACATGAACAACGCCCCATGTTCCCCGACTCCTCCCTCCCGCGCCCGTCCCTTCCCGGCTCCCGCCTGGCCGCACGCCCGGGCCCGCTGTCCCTTCTCTCGGGAGCGAGCTCACTGACGGAAGGGCTCCTCTCTGCTCTTCACACCCGTCTCATCCGAAAAGCCACCCTATCTGAGAAACATGGAAAGAAGCAGAAAGCCAGGGGAGCGAAGGCACATTCATGGGCTACAGCAGACTGAGGACCCAAGAATGACGATGGACGCACGTCAGCCCCCGAGTGCGGTTCCCCAGGTGTGCGTCTCCTCTTTGTCCCGCGTGTGTCTTCATAATAAAATACACCCCGGTTTGTGAGTTTGCCTGAGCCCCTGTTCCTTCCAGCTGAAAAAACCCAACTAAAACCAAAGTGCTCAGAACCCTATTGGGCTCCGTCAAATAAACCATCACTCTGAAGAACACAAGTTTTAAATGCGAACAGTTCATTCATAAAATGTAGGTTCAAATGGAAAGAGCCCTGGCTGGCGTGGCTCGGTTGTCATGCCCAGGTTGTGGGTTTAATCCCCCGTCGGGGCTCATGCAGGAGGCAACTGATCGATGTTTCTCTCCCACACTGACGTTTCTCTCTCTCCCTTCCTCTCTCTCACATCCATAAACAGATCCTCAGTGAGGGGAAAAAGGGATGGAAAATAAATTGATGGTTTATGTCTGTCCAGCTGTTTAATGAGGACCCTCTGATGGAGGGGCCTTCCCCTGCTGGGCACACAGAAATCCTGGTCTCTGGCTTCTGCAGAACTGGTGACTTCTATCACTGCCAGGCCCCCTAGTATTTCATTTAATTTCACTGTAACTAAACAATCCAAGTACTATAAGGAAACTGAGGCTGAGAGGCTACAAAGTTACAAAGTCAGAAGGGTCGGGGGGTGGTGTTATTGTGGTCAAAACATAAAATTTACCACCTTAAGTACAGCTGCAGTGTTGAGTGTATTCACACTGCTGTGAATCAGACCTCAGGGCTGTTCCATCCGGCCACACGGAGCGCCACACCTGTTAGAGACGCCTCTCTCCCTGTCTCTCCAGACCCTGAAAAACTACCATTTTACTTTTGTTTCTATGAATTTGATTATTCTAGGTACCTCATATAATCAAAGTTACACAGTATTTATCTTTTTGTGACTGGCTTATTTCATGGAACATAATGTCCTCACGGTTCATCCATGTCCTAGCCTGTGATAGGATTCCCCTCCTTTTTAGGCTGAACAATATTCCCTTGTATGGATGGGCCATGTTCTGTGTCCATCACCCACCGATGGACATTTGGGTGCTTCAGCACCTTGGCTGTTGTGACGAGTGCCGTGACGAACATGGGGTGTGCAAATAGCTTTGAGATCCTGCTTTCAGTTCTTTTGGATAAATGCCCACGTTTCCTAAGTGTCTGTGTCTCAGTGACTTCATCTGTGAAATGGGATCATCTCTACATGCTACGCTGTTTCAGGCTTAGTGGAAATGGAGATCAAATGCTCGGCACAGAGCCTGGCTTGTTGTGGGTACTGAACCAATGGCAGGGAACAGTAGGGAAAACATAGGGAAAAAGTTAGTTCTCCCATCCTCAGTGTTGTGTGTAACACAACAGCAACGAGCAAAGATAGTCTCCTAAGTTAATGTTGGTGGCATTTCAATAGAGGAAAAAGGAAATAATAGCATCTGACATCTATGAGGCTTATTTCAGAAAATGTCTGAATTTCCAATTTTTAAAAATACCTTTCTTCTGTTCACCCATTCTGAGGAATGAGGTTACTGGAAACCAAGAAGGAAGGGTGGAGGCACCCTCTCGCCTGCACGTGTGGGTGGCTCTTGGCAGAGTCCAGTGGGGACCCTGCCTGCCTGCACCTGTCAACAGGCTGCAAACACCACTCCATCCCTCCTGAGCTCCCGAGCCTCTGAGCGGAGGACATGGCCTCATCTGTTTCCCCTTCTATTCTTAATAGATCGGAGCACAAAAGCCTGAGAGAGGGTGACCTGGCGGACAAAGGCCCTTTGAGCTCCTTGGAAAGTAGGTTTGGAGGAGAGGGAAGGGGTCCAAGTGGCCCTATTATTTCCACTTGCACTAATTAGACATTTTTCTGTCAGCCATTGAGCACTGCTGAGAGGCCAAACTCGCTGAATTCATTTCTAAAGTGTTTACAGAAGTTTGCATCTGTTTGTGTCTCTTCAGGAGGAAAATAAGCACTTCAATAGCATTGTGGGAACCCTGAAGGAAGCCCTTCTGAGGGCCCGTCCCGCAGCTGCATAGCTCAGCTCCCTTCGGGCCAGGCCCAGCAAAGGCTGGGGCGCAGGGGGGTCAGCCCGTGAGGCTCTGTCCTCTCTGGCCGTAGGCTTCTCTCCCTCTCTGACTGGTGCCTGCTGGGCAGGACATGAAGATTTGGGGGGTTTCATTCTCATGGGCCAGCAGCCCTCTGAGAAATTAACACCCACTTTCATTTGCTGCCAAGGACAGGATAGTAAATTCCTCGGCAGCAAAGCAGAATCCAGTAGCATCCTGGGAACATCCCCCAGGGAAGCCAGGAGCCCTCCGACTGCAGCCTGGAGCAATGAGAGAGGCCCCAGTGTGCGACAGGGGGGACACGGCCTGGTTCTGCACAGCCAGATTAACAGAAAGAGAGCCCCGCCCCCAAAGGCAGGCAAAGAAAACCCCCCCCAGCTCACTGTCCGCGGGGCAGCCTGGGAGACGTGCTGTGGGCGTGGAGTCTGACCGGTTCTCTCTGTTCTGGCTTTTAGGCCTGCGGCTGACCTGCTGTCACGTCAGCGGACCCGAAAGTGTGACCTTGCCTCAGCTGGTAGGAGCATCTTCCCGTACACGAAAGGTTGTGGGTTCGATCCCCGGGGGGCGCGTATGAGTGGCAGCTGATCTATGTTTCTCTCTCTCCCTCCCTTCCTCTCTCTAAAATCAGTAAACATATCCTCGGGTGAGGATTTAAAAAAGAAAAGAAAGCACGATTTTTTTAGATAGTGTCACAGTAACACTTTAGTGTTGACGCAGCACCAGGTAACTCAAGTTTGAATAAACAGGAAGGCCATTCCTTTAGCTTCCCTGGGTCTCGCTGAGCGGTCAGGCTTAAATGGACGTACATGGCGGCAGTGAGGGGCCTGCTGGGCGTCTGCAGGGACAGGCCCGCCGCTGTGCACAGACATGCACCACACCCTTCACATCTGCCTTCGGGATGGGAAATTCAGGTTCTAATTGAGTCTAAGGCACAAGGGGAACTTCAGGGCTGGGAGGCTGAGTCGGGTGGTAAAGGAATTAAACTCCACAATGAGATTTTAATACACAATGATTGAAAAAATGCTAAAGAGCCTTTCTAAGGGCTTTTGCTGAACAGTAGCAAGGAAAAGTGTGCCGTTTTCATGGCTGCCTGCATTAGCGCCCGCCGCTCCCGATTCCTAGCATCAGTGTGTGTCCCAGCGATGGGCTCAAAGCCCTGATGTGCTCACAGCAATGACAATGGCAGCTGATCTCAAGGGGGTAGGGTGCGGGGACTCAGAACAGAAGCCATCTGGCATTGCAGTTGCCAGGAGCAGAGGAAAGGGAAATTATGGCTGCAGAGCAAATTGGGAGGGTGCGATGTCCCAAGGCGAGGAATCAGCAGAACAAACAAGTGAGAAGTGATCGGCTCCTGCAGAGCTATGCGCCAGCCGCAAATGCGAACAAGCGTCAGCCGTGGCGCCGGACGGGGGGTCTACCTGCTGACGTGTGGCAAGGAGGAGAAGCACGGAGCTGTCCCCAGGTGATGCCCAGGAACTGTTAACATTTAACTGGCCCTTCCTTTGCTTCACCAGGGCAACATGCAGCTCACACACTTTTGGAAAATGGTTGCAATCTTCTCTGTCTCAGAGCACTTTGTGTCATCCATCACGACTCTTTCAGGCCCACCAGATCTACTGTGAATGATGCCAGCTATGTGTTTAAAGAAAAAGGGAGCAGCACCAAAATAGACAACCACCTAAGTACCCTAGGCTGTGCAACGGCACACCTGACCTCTGTCCTGGAGGTTGCTAAGGCCGTTGTGACTCCATCATCACCCTTGGTGACTTCACTTCCTCACCTCCAACTCTTTTTTAAAAATATTTTTTCATTCATTATTAGAAAGATAGGAAGGGAGAGAGATAGAGGGATAGAAACATTGATGAGAGAGAAACATCAATCAACTGCCTCCTGCACGCCCCCTACTGGGGATGGAGTCCACAACCCGGGCATGTGCCTTGACCGGGAATGAAACAGGCGACCTCTTGGTTCATAGGTCGATGCTCAGCTGCTGAGCCACGCCAGCCGGGCTCTTTCTTAAATCTAGAGCTCTCCACCGAACCCTCCGCTGAACGCATTCTTTAAGGTTGCCCACAACCTCCAAATCCAATGACTCAAACTCCTAGAAGCATTTGGTGGTGACAGCCATCCCTCCATTTTCAGTCCAGTGACATTTCATACTGTCCTGGTAATTCTGAAAATATGTCACAGTTGTTTTTTGATGCCCTGGTATTGAGATCCAGATACAGGCCTGAATACTCTATTTGATCTAAGCTTCTGTCTGTCTCACCTTATAACTACAACTATATTATGTTCCATCCATCTAACTGCATAACTATACTATATTCCATCTGGCCCTACGCTACGTCCTTCTGAGAGGTAGCTTATAGGATGACAACAGCTACCATTTATTAAGTGTCAGGCACTGTTCTAAACATCCCACGTGATCCATTCACTTCATTCTCAAATAACTC